TTTTTTTTATCACAGGGTGCACAACTTGACAGGTTCGGTCGGCACGACCAATGAAATCAATGCGAAAAGGAGAGACAGACAAAAAGAACTTTTGCATTCTCTTCCTGTGAACAAATCGCATTGTACGGAGAAAGATTCAGAAAATTTTAAAATGTAAATAAACTCAGGAGTAATTTTGGTTCTGTCATTCTTTCACTTCAATGTGAAAAATGTGTCTGAATCTATAAGGAAATTAGGAATTTTATAAAGTGAAATATTACGTTTGTCTTTGAGCCCTTCTTCCAGGAAATGAACTTCAAGATTCAACGTTAGAGAACGTCATCGAATGTTATTCTGAAAAAAGTACGCATTTCTCGAGTTAATAATAAATACAAAAATTTACCGATAAAAGTGTTTTACGTTCCATAAAAATCGCTTTCGGAGTTCAAATCGCACGACAAGAAAACTCTTTTCTTCTTTTGCGTAATAAAACATTTTCGTTTGAATTCGTCAGAGTCCGGATTTTTGGCACCGATCGCCAATCCGTGGTCTTATTAGGATGACGACGTTGGCCTTCCAGAAGCATCAAGGTAAGTGAGACGAGCGTCGTTGATTGGGGGAGTGTTTCCGACGTTTCGACTCTCAGTTTGTTGGAATCCGTGGACTCTAAGGCAAGAAAACCGTCAATAAATGGAGTGCGCGTATTTCTCGCTTTTTTCGGAACAGAATTAAATTTTCCGATTAACGCGATTTGCGTTTTCAGTCGAAGTCGATGAGTCGTCGGTAATTGATTGTAAACGAGAATTTTGGCATTGTCATGCCTTCTGTTTTAAGTTTCACTGAGTTGTTAATTTGGACAACTGCAATGAACACTCGATCGTACGCCGTCCGTGGTCAGGTGCAAACTTAACAGCGCTTCGGATAAAGAATTCGACGTTTGTTTGTTTGTTTGTTTGTTTCAGAACCCGCTCACGTCCTGTGCCTCAACGTGGCGAGCGGGTGAAACAAAGAACGGTGCATGTCCGAAATTGAAGTATTTGTTAAAATTGTCTGAGAAACCCTTAATTTCACATTAGTTTTGGTTGTAATTCGAGATATGTTCGTTTTAAGTGGCTTTTAACCTTTTCATTTTTATATCGTAATAATTCATAAACGCCTGTTGGTTGACCCATGCTCGCCATTGGAATGTACATTCTATACGTATCGTTGAATATCATAGAAATGTGTGTCTAAACTTAACATCTCGGCCGAGTCTCGAACCGACGTCAGTTTTGAATGTTTTAGATCTTTGATTTTATTTCCTGTGATCTCGTAACCTGAACAAACGACTTTATTCTTAACATCTTTTTTCTATCGTGCTTAGTTTCCGAGTTATAGAAAACGTCCTCGCCGGAAATCGAAGTCAGGACACGTTTTCTGGAGTTTCGACTCTGCTGTATTCTGTTCCTGGGATTTAAGGACCGCGCGTGACAAGTTTGGTGCAAATTGGTTTATTCGTTTTCGAGCTATAAGCGAACAAACAGATAAACATGCTGACAATTTTAGCTTTATAAAATTGTTTCGGACGTGCCATGATTATTATTTATTCCTATAATTTTAATTCAAGGGATTTATTCTCACAGACGAATATCACTCCAAAAGTGTATTTGATACTTGGTGTGAGACTTAGAGTGAACTGTAGCAAATGAAACATATAGGAACAGTTTGAATATCTTATAAAAAAATTTAAATATTGTTTTGTTTTCATGTTAACAAAATTTGTCAGTATTTATTTCTATGACTGTACAGAATGTACATTTTGAAAGGGCATCCAAAAATATTTAAAATGCATAAACAAAGCATAGTAATATATCAGTGATTGTGTAATTATATATTTCGTTTTAAATCAACGCTGTCTGATAACCTATTTGTTGCGGCGAATTAAGTCATTTTAAATCGTCAATTACAGGAATGCATCGTTCCTTGGCTAAACAGGATAAGCTTACTTTAGTCTTAATACATTAGAAGATGCCACGATCATAAACATTCTTTACGTCATCCTGTATTAGTAATGAGATATGTAATAGTAACTGATTATTTTATTCAGCAGAGTGGTAACCGTGTATGGAATTTTGTCAACACGAGATTTTTAACATTGAGTTAACCTGATCATGTATGAAATGCAGTGGAAATTAATGGGAGAATATTCATCAAAAGCATTTTCAATATGTGACGTCACGATGTTCCGATAAATCACCTGCAGCTGGACAGAACACGTCACTTCAGGAAGTGAAATTATGGTGAGTTGCAAAGAAAGAATATTTTTTTATATATTTTTTCGTGCACTATATCTGGAGGGACTTACGAAGACCATGAAAAACCCAATTCACTGCTAACCTAACCTAACCTAACCTACATTCCAGGATTTGAAGCCAGGACATCTTGATATGAATACTTCTGAATGTTGTTTAACTATGAAGATGGCTGTCTTCTGGTTGTTGCGTATTTCAGATGAACTTGCTGCCTCTATAATCTTGGTTGTGACTCAGGCAGCAAGCACTTGTGCAATGCGTTATGTTAAGTTTCAATCAGTTTGTCAGTTTTTTACGTGTATGTTTCTAAATTAAGTTTTTTGACTGTAGGCCATCTTCAGATCTGAGAGTGTTTAGAGTTAAACATTATATTTCCAAGATAATTTGTTATTACTCAAGGAACTTGTGAGTCATGAAAATTATTCTAACGTTCTTGGTAAATCATGCATTTTTTTTCATAAATCTCTGGCTAATTGTATTATCATTAATCTTTCTGAAGCTCCATGTTCTTTCCATTTTGAGAAAAATTGTGTTAGCTTTATTGGTGGAAGTAGGTAACATTTTAGCTGTAACTAGATTTTGCCACATTCAAAACATTTTGTCGCACAAGGTTCTTTAAAATATTCAAATGCATTGTGAGCAAGAGGAAGTTGTGTGAAAGTTTGAAGGCTAGATTGCAGTTAACCTTCTAACCGACTGCACTCGTGCTATCATCAAATCTCTCGCAATTCTCTTTCATAGATGGTAGCACAAATGGCACGGCGCGACTGTGGCTCTTTACTTACGTAGTTGTGTATGTTTTGCTGGGATGTTGGTAATTAGTGACTTGTGGTCCATACCATGTTGATTTTGCATATATTTTGTATTTTTCGCTTATTACAGAGACGTTTCTTGTTCAGATAAATTGTTAATCTTGTGGTTTTAATATGTATAGGAAGGAAATTATTTGTGTCTGCTGAGGTAGCAGTTTCTTATTGAGTAATCAAAATGGACGTCAAATATAGAATATGCTTTATTTAATTGGGTTGGACGTCTTTAACATGTTTCCATAACATTGATACAATTATATAGTGTTGTTACAGTGAATACGTTATCAGGATGCAGTTACGTTTCGGCTTGTGTGAACTCTGCAGATCGGTTTTATTTCGTCAGCCATCGATCGTATCTGTTGCAAAGTTTCACCTCCATCCGGTATGTTACATTTTTTAAAATAATTTGCAGAAATGAAAGGAGGAAGGTGCAGTATCAGCCCTCATTCTCGTTTCCCTTTTAGATACATGTCCAGTTAGAACCCATTTCCTTGTCACTTACGACTTGCTGGTCGTGAAAGGTATAAATATGCTCCAGTTGTTATTTTACCACAGCATTTTCTAGGCAGTTATCTTGATTACTTTTCTTCCATTTCACATTTATTTCTTGCATGTTTTGTGTCTTATTGTGTAAGAGAGAAGGGGATTTATCCTGGAATTCTCTACTTAGTCTAAAGACAGGTTTAATTACGTAAAGAGGTGTTTATTACTCGTAATTTGAGCCCAATGTTAGTGACAAATTCCAAAACTCAATAAAATAATCTCAGGCAGGCAGACATGTCAGGAGTCATCTCTCCCCAAGTCATCAGGATTTTGATCAGAACTCCCAGGTTAGTTTGGTAGAACCGGGATAGGTTTTTCTCTAAGCCCTTCGGTTTTTCCCTGCCATAATCATTTCATTGATGCTTCATATTTACTCATGTATCATCTGGGGGATGGTCAATTGGCCTGTTTGCAGCTGCAATTCCTTAGAGATATAGTCTCTCCTTGTTGTAATAATAAGTACACCATAAAGCCATATGTAATATGAAAATAAACTAAAGTATTTGATGCTTACTCATTACAACAGGCTCTGTCAGCAAATGCACGTGCTGCTATCAAAGAGAAACATTCAGGCAGTGAAGAATCTCCAAAGCAAGTAAAGAAGGTGAACAAAATCAGTTTTATTTAATTGTGTTTATGAATCTTTTTTGAAAAGAAGTTTTACAGAATAATTCCTGTTATCTTTACAATTTTAAAAAGATTGTCCAAAATATCATTTTTAGTTGTTCTTTATATGTTTTTTTGATGGTATTGGATTACTGACTCTTTACTATGGACTTATCCATCATTTGAAATTTTAACTATTTTAAAAAATAAAACATTTCAAGAAATCCATCTTTCAAATTGTTTTTATAACTGGCATTTCAAATAATGATGGAAGAAGTCCAAAATAAAAAATAAATTAGCAAACCATATTTATTTTACCACAATTTCAAATCTTTAATCGTATTTATTTTTCAAGACATGGAGAACCCATTTTTCATTAGTAGATTGTATTTTTAGAGTGTTATGTTTTATTTTTAATTACAGGTGTTACATATTAGTTGTAAGAGGAAAGAATATAACCTTTATAAAGGTTTTACTTATGGAAAATTTGAAAACATTCCATTGGCATCTAAAGGATGGCACCATAGGAAGTCAAAGGGAGATTTCTTCACAATCCAAAAATATAAGGAGGCAAGTAAAAGTACTTTAACAGCATACACATTTTATATTAAATCTTCCATTGTGATATTTTTCTTAATTACCAATTTTAGTTTTGATTTTCTGACAACCCACGTCCAAGTTACATATGTATGTAGCATGTACTGATTACATATGGTAAAAACATACGAGGCAAATACGGTACTGGATTCCATTCAGTGGGGAAGGGACGCTTGAGGTTAGAATATCACAAGACCTAACCTAACCTATCTTTTATCCAGTAGAAGAGGTGCAAGTTTCTAAATTATAATTCCTTTTTGTATTATTCAAGATGAAATGGAGGAAACTCATTTTCATCAGTAGAATCTGTGTCATGAAGTTTACTGTAGCTCAGGGAGTTTCCATTTGTGAAACCGATTGACAGTTTCGTGCAGCAGTGAAAGAAAATACTGTTGTGAAATTTCAGGTTCTCAATTTGTCGAGTACGAGGATGAATTGTTTTGTGGGATGTGCTGTGTAGTCTGAAACATATTGACCAACATTTCAGAGGTGCTTACTGCCTCCATCATCAGGGTGACTGACTTGATGATTGGAGGCAATAATAGCCTCTGATATAACAACTCAGAGGGCAGAGATGAATATGAATTAAATATTCTTTGGAGTAACAAAGGTTTGCCATGAAATGGAAGTTTTGGTGTGTATGCATTGGTTTAGGTGGCAAACTTAATTGAATTATTTTATTTCAGAATCCAGCAATTTCTGACTCGTCTGAAACTAGCGTCACTTTTGCCGATACTGGCATTAATAGTAACATAATTGGTGTTCTGGAGGAGCAGGAAATTACAGAGCCAACAGTCATTCAGGTATGCCTGCTACTTTCAGTAGAAGTTCTGCTGAGGAACGGGAGTGGAATTGTCTTCTCTTTTCTGCTTTTATTCTGACAATTTTCCTAATCAAAGATTATCATCTGGTTGAAACTTACTGAATTAGTGAAACTATTTAACAAATTTTAATATTAAAGTGCTGTATTAAATATGTGGGTTATTAGTTTATTATGCTAAGTATAGAAATATTTAAGCCGTGTCTTCATTTGAACACTGTGCAGAGTATACAGATCTGCCATATAAATTTCACAGATTTAAACACCATGTTTGCGAATTAGGATTGAAATCTTGAAGTATAAATATTCAGTGAAAGATAATTATGTCAGCTAGGATGAAATATGTGATTGAAATCTGTGGAAGTAAGTTATTTGTATATTTACCTTGTGACTTCTTTTGTGTTCCTCGATTTTCAGAATTATTATGCAGTTAAGAGTGATCTGAATGATTTTTGCATGTAAAAATATTGATTTTTTTTTTTTTGTCTCTAATGTGGTTTCCAAAACAGAAAGATGCGGTAACAATTCCAATATTATATTTTCAGAAAGATGGTATTCCTACTATTCTAGAAGGGCATAATACCCTTTTAACTGCAGAAACAGGATGTGGCAAGACTCTGGCATATCTTCTTCCTATGATACAACAGATTCTGATCTGGCAGCGTCTGTTAACGGAGAACCGATTCAACAGCCCTCTTGGTGTAATTGTGTCACCAAACAGGGAATTGGCAATTCAAATAGGCGTACGTTCACATTAATACTTTCAATTCATAAATATAATGGCCGTTTCAGTATCTTGCGACAACTTTCCATGTTGTCGCCCCTCTCCCGCCAACAGCACACTTCCCCTTTAAGTCTAACAAATGTCGTGAGATGTAATCAACATGAATGGGGCATGTCTTTGGTCTGCTGTCCGCTCTCTTTGTCTGTTCAGTTTCATTAATGATTTTAGAATGACTTCATATGTTGGTCTGTCAGTCTTTATCTTCTGGGGGGAGATTATGGTGACAGATTAAAATTATCAAGCAGATCCTTGCTTCACAAAGTATAGTACTGGACATAAAATATAGATCACATCGAGGTATGCTTTTATTATTTTTCAAGTTAGAAATCTTAGTTGGTATTTTTTATTTCCCGATGTAATATTTTCATGCACTGTGTTGTAATCTGCAAATGTTTCAGAAAGTGGCTGAGAAGTTTGCCAGTAAATTGATGTTCAACACGCAGGTGTTGACAGGTGGTCACACAAAACGGAAAATGCTTAACCCATCGTACGAGCAAGTTGATTTGTTGGTAGCGAGTCTCGGAGCCCTCAGTAAACTTACTACCACAGGTAGAAACACGTCTATTTGAATAGATGTGGGGGGGGGGGGGGGATGTGTTTGAACAGGAATTGAACTTGGTGACATACAACAGAAATTTGAGAAAGAATATCTGCCTTCTTTCGATTTTTTGTTTCTGTTTTGAGAGGTCAACTGAACTTTTAGATTAATAATTTCTTATCAAACATAACCTCAGAGTTGTATGCCGTGAGTTTAATACGCGTACCACGTAACCTTTACCCTCGATGAAACATAAGTAAATAAGCAGAGAATGAAGCAAATTAATCGTTACATATTCATTAGCGACACTAAACTTTTGCAGGCATCTACAGCATGAAGAACGTTCGCCATGTGGTACTGGACGAGGCGGACACATTGCTTGATGATAGTTTCAACGAGAAATTGTGTCATTTTCTGAAGCGTTTTCATGTAAGCATATTTCAGTCTTAATCTTTTTCAACACGCACAGGCTGAGAGCTGTAATATTACACAGGAAGAATAAACACGTAATTTACGTTTTGGTTGTAGCGTGACTGACTTTGTTATCTTGTTGTTTGTCTTTCTTGCAGTTTCAATTCAAAGGGACCAACATACTAACTTCAGTACCGCCAGGCGTTCAGTTAACGTTGGTTAGTGCAACGTTACCGACAAGTCTTCCGGATGTACTGAGTTCTGTTATAGAGGTACATCTGAAAGAAATTAATAAAACAATTATGTTTATGGTTTGCTAATTACGGTTACACAATTTCGTACTTATTATATTTTATCATGTTCAGTGTTACTTTAATTAGCTGAAAGTAAGTGTTACGTAGTACAGTGTAATAACATGCTCAGAATTTGCGCGCCTTTTTTTTGTATTTCATATAATTTAAATCAAGAAACAAGACATTTCAAGGAGAAATCTTAAAATTATTGCGGAAATTTCTATCCCTGCGTTAAAATTATTATATGTAACTTCATCGTGTAGGCTGCTTGCTGTCTGTTGAATAAAATGACTTTGCAGTTGATATATTATCTTTATGTCACCTGGTCGCGGTTCCACAAGGCAGTGACCAACTTAAAGAAAACACTAAATGCATTCCTTCCAGATTGGATTTAAGTCTGTAGTATTGTAATTTTCTTTTCAGACAGAGTCATTACTGAGAGTTACATCAAATCAAGTTCATCGGATACTACCACACGTTCCGCAAAAGTTTTATCGGCTTGGCCGGTCCCAGAAGCCCGTTCAGTTGCTGACTATGGTTAAGCAAGATGTTGTAAAGAAACACCCTGTAATCATATTTAGGTAATTGTCCACAGTGTTCTAATTTCTCAATAAATGTTTTAATACATATAATATTTCATTCATACGATAAGAAAACTCAACAAAATTTGACCTATTTATTCTCCGAATGTCTTTAGTGATGGAATTGTGTTCCTGTTTTTTATTTTGGATATTATTATTATTGAATGTCTTAAAATTCACGACATTTCAAAGTCTTTTGATGCAAGTAATAATTTCTTCATGCAGTAATGAGAATTTGGATTTACGTCTCGACGTGTGATAATCGTGGCACGATGATTTGACTCGTCTTTTGTTGCAGCAACAAAGCACCGACATGTGACTGGATTTCGATGTTCCTAAATGAAAATGGTGTAAAATGTGTCAACCTGAATGGAAAAATGCCATTTGATATTCGGACGGGGAAACTAAACTCATTTCTGTTGGGTGATGTGGATGTCATTTCTTGTACGGACATTGGTTCTAGAGGCATTGACACTATTAGGGTAAGTTTGAATGTTGTACGTGCAAGGTGTGCCTTAGTTCGTTGACACTTAATGCTGGAACCATACGTATTGGTGTAACCAGAAAAGACCGCTGCATAAATAAAATAAAATACATTGAAACAAATTCTGATACTGAATTGTTTTTTTATCAATTATATGTTTGTGTTTCAGGTGAAACATGTTATCAATTATGATTTTCCTCTGTACATGGCTGATTACATTCATCGTTGTGGGCGCACAGGTCGTGTTGGTAGCGATGAAGGATCTCGCGTGTCAAATTTGATTGTTTCTTCGAGAGAGGTGGAACTTGTGCAGAAGATAGAGGTTTGTAGTTTTATTTTAGCTGCAGTTCAGAAGATAATTGTTTCTTAAACATGATGAATTGCATTTTACATTTCGTCTGCCTTTCGTCAAAAAGTATTTGAATGTATTGGCTTACAACTTGCGATTTTATTCTTTACAGACAGCCGCTCGGAAAATGGACGCATTGCCCAATGTCAATGGTAATATCACGAGAACAATTAAATACAGAATTTTGAAAAATTTGGAAAAGGAATCTTTCTGAAATGTTTAATTGTACATTAATAGTACTTCAACATATTGTGAGATTAAACATTTCTTATTTACTGAAGCATTTTCCTTGTTTATTAGCTATGTTTATTTTTTAATACACCTGTCCTTTCATTCTTTTGTGTTCTTTCCACAAACTTAATAAAATAAAAACATAATGAAGTGTCTGTCCATGCATTTTTCGCCTGATAGTGTTTGTTATTTGAGACCTATTTCTCCTAGGTTATGAAATGTAGATGTTCCATACAAAATTGTTAAAAGTTAATAAATAATTCGGGCCTCATTAGAACTATATTAAGAAACAACAAAATGAAGATGGCACCAAAGTGGCATGTGTTAATGTTGGTGAAGATAAGTTTTGGAGTGTTGAAGAGGATATTTGGAAGACAGGTCATGTTGAAAATTTACAATGAGATTACAGGGTATTTGTTGGAAGGCCTGAAGGGGGAAGACCTAGACCTAGGTGGGAGGTTAACATTAAAATGGACCTCAGGGAGACAGGAATTTATGGAGAAAACTGAATGCAGCCTACTCAGGATATAGTCCGGTGGCAGGCGATTCTGATGAACCTTTACGTTCCAGAAAGAAAGTGGGATATTATTTGATAACCTGAGTAAACATTGTCACTGGTCAAACATTCATGTGACAGCTACTGCCATCTGCCTCAGAATGGCTGTGTTTGCTCTCCGTCTGATGTTGAAGTACCGTAGGTGAGCACTACGAGGCGCTGAAATGCATTAGTTAGTTAGGGTAATCTGTGGGGTTCTGCATGGCGCCGCTAAGTTGATGTAATCTGTGCAGCATGGTAATGTGCTGGAGGACAGTGTGTTGGTGCTTGGCGATGTAGGTGATACGTTGTGCTGGTATCCCGTTTGTGTCACGTGATGAAAGCTTTGTAGTTGAAGGAGAAGATAGGATACTTGTTTTGTTGTGTTGAGTTCATACTGCAGTTGTTTTCTTTCGAAACATTGTCTTGTTGCGTTTCCTGTTTGGTGTAGTCGTGTGAAGTGTTGTTGAAATACGAATGGAAGAGTTACGTTCGGTTTGTTGCGAGTCTTGTGTGTTCTCTGTTCTCTTATTTTGTAGTGTTCCGTGACGAAGTAGCAGAAAAGCTTCTGTTGTATGTGGTGTGGTGCGAAAGAACGAAAGAATTATGTCAGATGGTGAAATTTCTATGAAACAGTGACGGGAGTTCGGTCAACGGACAAGTTGATGATTTCAGTTATTCTTCTGAACCAAGGGTTGGGGACACGACGTAACACTGTTTTGTGTGCAACGTCAACGACGGACATCGGAGCCAGTAGAAGATGTAAGCATGTATTTTGTTGTAACTTATAATTCGTTACGCTTGCTTCGTACTAGAAGTGTTCTATTCGAGCACCCGCGACAGTGATGTGGTCTTCTGAAAGTTATTGTTTGCAGTAATTCTGTGCCTTTCAGATTTACAGAAGTATTTTTTCCAAGCCCGTACCTTTTAGAAACTTATGACTGTAAGTTGTAAGTAACTACGGTATGAGAAATCATAAGTCCACGTCTCTTCGACAACGATTTTTAATTAAACCAGTTAAAAATTTGTTTCTGGTGGCGATTATTTAATTTATAATGATGTGTATTCCAGGCGCTATGGACCTTTCCGTACCAGGAAGTTTGTGCAGTGCCCCAGAAGTTATATCAAACGTAACACATAGAACTTGGCATTGTTTCTCTCGATAATTTTATTCGAGTATTTGTGCCGTCAGATTTAAAATACGGTAGAAATAAAATTAAAAAAATACAAACCCTTTACATGGAACAGAGACCTTCTTGAGAAGCTTTTATGAAACCCCCAAGATTCAGTATCGAAAAAAATCTACAACGAATATGCTGATGAATTCTGAACCTAAAATTTAATACCGATTCTTCGATATTTTAAATGTTTATCATATGTAAAAAGAATCGATCCTAAGCGTCATATTCACTGGAACAATTTATAACGGAATGCCTTTGTGTTCAAGTTACGAACAATGTCAGAATCCTTCGAGCTGAGTAAGAATAAACGATCCACTTAAAATGCATGACCGAAGTCAGAGGTGAAATGGAAGGAGGTCAACAGTGCAACAGTGTGTTCAGAAAATAAGTTCTCGGGTATGTTCATACCCATGCATCGTTAGACAATGGGCATAGTTCAGGGGTGGACAGATTTGTAGTAAGAACTACAAATACATCATTTAGTTGGCGTTTGTGGGGAAATTTGTTACCGGACAGTACTTAATAGGTGGACCTGTTTGTATTGTTGCCATGAATGTCTGCTGTTACTTGTAGCGTGAGATTGTTACGTGTACATTTTAATTTTCCGGGTGTCTAGTAACATTTTAACGCCCCAGTTTACGTAGTGACGTGTTTTTTTATGTTTGTAATAGATATTTTATCATATTTTTCTTCTGATTGTAGCTGATAATGCTCGCGCCTTAAGATTTTCTTTCACATTCCTTTCAGAAATCCTAGCGCCTTCTTGTAATTACGTGCGTGACTCAGTGGAATGTTCTAGTTTGGAATTAAATGCGATGGATTAAACGTGAAGACGTATTAATAAAATGCAGTTTATGTATTTTTTTAAGCTTTGGGTAAATCGAATTGTCATTCAGGAAAGGTAGATGGTATTTGGTTGCGGTGAGGCGTGAGGGGGATCGACCCTTGTACCCGGAAATGTTTTTGCGTTACGTGACCAAATCAAGTAAAAACTGAAGGGTTTACGACCATCACATTTTTACCGATAACAATGTCTACTTGTTAAATATATTTTTTTTGTGATTTTATCCAAATTCCCCCTCTCCGAAATTGATGGCTGACCGTAATCCTGCGCGCTGGGGAAAAACAAATTGGCCTGTAGCTGCTATTGGTTGGTCAGTCTGCATTCCTTAACAGTTTATAATTCATGGGCAGGGTCTTCGCGTGTAGTGTCATTAACTTTCGTAATAAAAAAAAAAGTTTTAACTCCATATATGTTGAACATTTCTGAGGACTTGGAGCGTCCTTTGCGTTCTGGCATTAACCGTATATAAAAAGTGTTTGACTGGAGGCTGCAAATAAAACCTTATTACATGTTTCCCTTTTCTGTGTTTTCGACCTTGGAAGCAGAGGTTTCCGGAACCAGACCGACCAGGTGTAGTTGCAGGTTATAATATCACGACCGCAGAAGACCAGTTTTCTGCAGTCATGGAGATTTGTTTGGATTTTGGACATTCAAGCCCGCTGTGTTTCCGGACCAAAGATCGATTTTTTTAAAGGATCGTGCTTATTAATTAGTTAATTTTCTCTAACATGATCTTCGACGAGCAGCTGTTAAGCAGATTACTTGGCGTTATGGAAACGGATCATTCATCAGTGTCACCACAAGAGATCAGTGAACTGATGAGTTTGAGTACAGTCTTTCCACAGATTGCCATAATTCCTGGAAAGAAATCGTAATAGTTTTCAGCTTCTGTGTGCTACGTCATTATTTTTTTATTTTTTTATTTTTGGAACTCGTGTGCGTGTTTTTAACAGCGATCAATCAGTTGATCTCAGTAATGGTGAAGTGTTGTGTTTTCTTTGCGGTACGGACTGAATGTTTTTTTTTATGTATTTAAAGTTGTAGACGAGTTTCGTGTCGTGAGAGTTAATATCAGCTCGCATTTGGTTTGAAAATTAATCTTTATGGTAGCTGTTTATTGCCGATCTGATATTTATTTAGTACGATATTTGTAGGCGAATCTGTAATCAGATCTGATTTTCTGTTTATAAGACGAAATATTAAACAATAATTGTATTGTACTATTTACGTGTGAGTACGCGATGGGATTACCTGAATATCAGTAACATTCTGTGAACCTTTTTCACTACAGAAACCCATGTTCTGCAAACATATTTTTTACGTGTCAACTTGTTTCAAATCATGCGAGTTAACGCTTTGAAACCGGTGCTCGTCCAAATAATATTTAAGAAATCAGCCCGTACCGCGAAGAAAACACCACGCTTTACCATTACAAAGATCAACTGGTTAACGCTGTTTAAGGAAATAATCGCTGTTTACACTGAGAATCTTTTACGAAAACCCCCCCCCCCCCCAATGCAAAAAGCAGAGTTTGCTGATTGTTGAAGCATCTGGTACATTCTATTTGACCTTGGCGTTTATATTTTTATTCTGAAAGTTCCTCTCCCCGTTAATAAGCGTATGTTTGCTTACAGCGCATTGCAACACTAGTTTAATTTGTATTCCTCGCCAGAGACTTGATTTAAACAAAATAGGGTTTGCGTGTTTTGAATCTACTGCAGCATGACAGTTGAGGAGCGGTTTTTTTATTATTTTTAAATAATATATTTCTTGTGTCGTCCAGTTGTGATCTCCTTTCTCTTTTCTTTGAGCAGAAACTTCCACGTGTTTTAAAAGTTTATTTTAAGGTTTAGTTTTTAGGTTTTTGAATAAATAGTATTTTAGCGTTTTCCTTGCTATATACGAAATATCTCGCAAAGAAACATGTGCCATTCTGGTCTGAATTTATTTTGCGGCAGCAAACATTGTTGAAAGATTAATTTATTCTGTCCGCTAATGCCGACAGTTCGTGTTTCTTCAACAATGGGCATTATACATGGTAATAGAACTGAACCAGTGGAAGTTTATATTTCATGTTGTGAACGGGCATATATTTTATGGATTTAGCATTTTTTTCTTTTAGGAATATGATAGAACTATGACTATTAACAACCCAGAAGAAGTTCTCCATTCTCACCGCTGTATGAGTGTACGGACTTTGGACACACTTGTCGGATATATTTCCAGTTTGGCTCTGCAAGTGTTTTTTTTTTCTCGTTTTGCCTTCCCTGTTCACACACACACACACGCCTTTGCGTGTAAATGGTGCCAGACAATGATTTTATGGAAGCGAACTTGCAGAACTGTTACCTAACATTGCCCGTGAAGACGTCAGATATAGCATTTTTGTGAAGTTTATATGTCAAGTGTGTAGATTATAATTTAGGCATAGAATTGTTCGAACAGCTTCAGTCGGTATTTGACTTGGGGGGCTGTCTTGAAGGATGTTGCGCCGTGTCGTGTCGTCTGGTATAAACTTACCGACGTTTCGGAAGCGTTACCTGCCTCCGTCATCAGGACGAACTTGATTTTAAGGTAATATAAAAAGTGATATGGCGTGATGTAAACACGGCATTGAACCTTCTGAAAGGCGGGAAAATTAAGTAGTTCAGCAGCTGTTTGTTCGATGTGGCTCGACTTTTGTTGGTTGGATACCCCTGCCTAAACGGGACGAGCGACCTGACTTCGTGCCGTTAGAATATTGTTACTTGCCAAGGTATAATAAATAGGCTGTTCGCTGTTACTCTGTTTACAGCGTACACACTGACACAACAGTTAACCTGTAGAAGCGATGCTTACGGGCACGAAGATTTAAATTAACAAGTGTTGTGACGACGCTGCAGGCAAGTCCCGGTTTCGCACACTTTGATGTTTTGGCGTCTGTATCCTGTTGTATCGTCTAAGGAAGTGACGTAATTTAAAAAAAATACCTCCTCGCGTGTTGATGTGCATTTGCTAACGATGCAGATCGTAATTTCTATTATATTAATCGATACGTATTGATCTCGCAGACTTATTTTCCGAGGAACGAACTGTGACCTTCGCACTTGGACGTCTGGTACTCCAGACAGCAGCGCTGGTGATTATGTGACGTCCGTGGAAAACAAGTGAGTGGGCACTGGGCGTGCCATTGTAGCTTCCTGCAGGCGCAGGTAGCGTGAAGCATTTGCTGCGGAACCATCCTGTCCGTCCGTCCGTCCGTCCGTCCGTCCGTCCGGTGGTGATCACGTGCGTTGTTTGGCCCGAGTCATTACACATTGTTCTTGACTCTTTAAAGCCCGGAAGTAACTTTACGTACCACCATCTTTAACTTTTAAAAAGTTTTGCATTTTGCCGACAGAGTGCATTGTTTCTTATTATTATTTCCTTAAATAGTATTTACCCGATTCGTCTTTGTCACGGAGAACTATTTTTAAATATTATTTAGGCGACCTGCGCGTTGAAATGAATTATGAACTGATTTTCAACATTAACAATGAAACAGAATTCTTCTATGGTTTTAAATGACAGCTGTTTATGAGGAAATTTAATAGCTGTTATCTTCGACGTGTATTTCCCTGCAGTACGCATGCGTCCTCTGGCTTGCTGTGTTGCCAGTGTATGCCGTAGCTGGTCAAGGCGCCATTGTTGGAACAGAATCGAAATTGCAACGTATAGCAGTTAAGGCAGCCGTTGTGTAAATTCAGATGAAAGTTCTG